ACCGGCAATCCTTCATCGCACGCCCATCGTGACGCTTGCCAAGTGGCGTCTTTACGCAGGGCTGGAACAGCTCCAACGAGTCTGGCCAGCAAATGCTCGCTGTACTGCGGGCTCTGATTTCGATAGCGCGTCGCCCACAACTTCCACATCGTACGTCGCACCGCGCACGCCGCATCACCACCATCACCGGCGCTACCCCTGCCATTCCCGAATCCAGCTCCAGCAGCGCTAGCTTACTCCGGCATCAGCTCCAGAACCACTAATGACAGCGACAGCAACACCGTTGCAGCTACAGCAGCTTCGCGCCTACCGGATTCCCAACCGCGTTGCCCCCCCCAAGGTCGCCTACTCGGTCCGCTGCGGCCGCCCCGCCCCACAGCCCTGGCCCGAGCTCGAACCCGTCAAGGTGCCGCCGCAAGGGGAAGTCCGCTGGCACCGCAATGTCGTACGCTTCCCGCCAGAGGTCGCCGTACAGCTCGAGGAAAGCCCGGCCGGCTCTGGCGGTGGTGGCTCCCGCACCTTGGTGCTGAGCGGCAAGGCGGGGACCATTCGCCTCAATATGCAGGTCCGTCACCCTGTTTGTTTGTCTATCTCTCTGTCTGTCTATCTGTCTGTCTATAGTGGTTGTCCCCACCACGTTGGTTGCCATAACCGAACTTGATTATTCCGGGGCTGGTCAGGGGGCGGGCGGGTGACAGGTGGCAGGTGGGTGGGTGGGTGGTTTACCCCTGCCGGCTGCTGCGCTGCGTTGCGTTGCGTTGCGGCGAGGACTAGGACTAGGACTAGGGCGGGGGCGGTGGTTGGCAGGTGGTGGAGGTGGAAGCCACCACGGGAATTTGATGGGAGAGTGAGTCGCGGGTTGGGCCGCACAGTACTTTTTACACACATACATACATACATACATACATACATACATACATACATACATACATACATACATACATACACATTGTGTACTTACTCCAGTTGGGCGGTGTGAGGATGATGATAGATGGCTTGTGTGCTATGCAGGGCCTTGCTTGTAGCTCTTCTAGGTGCTGTGATGCCCACCTCACGAGTATGTGATGTACCTCCCCTCGGTCCCCAGATGGCGGCATGTGTGCATGTGTGTATGTGCATGTGCATGTGCATGTGCATGCACGTACCTAGATAGCAGCGTGTATTGGTGTTTGTGGCGGTTTAAGGGGCCCCGACTGCAGTGGCTGGCTTTCTTCTCAACTGGGTCTGGGGGGTACTCAGTACAGTACGGGGCAGTACGGGAGAAGGACGTCACCACTGGGGTCACCTTACCCCTCCCTGCAAGGAGGGGCCGCGCCATTGACTGGACGATGATGACGTCCACGTCGGAACGGTGGCTCATGTCTGGAGTCGGGAGTCCAGTCTCCCGGGCTGACAGGGGGAGATAGAGAGAGAGAGAGAGAGAGAGAGTCCCCCTCTCTACCGCAGCCCCCCACAGTCCCCCACAGTCCCCCGCCCACTATTAAACCCCGCCCCCTACCGCTAACGAAACGTCCTTCAGGAGCTGGACGCAACGGGGCTGTTGGCCTTCCGCCTCATCCAACTCGCACCGCCCACCACCACCACCACCACCACCAGCAGCGGAGCAGCAGCCAAACAGCCCTCGCAGCCCCCCTCCAAACCCCCCGCTGCTGCTGCTGCTGCTGGTGGTGGCGCTACCGGTGTTGCTGGTACTGGTCGCAGCGTGTTGGTGTTGGTGGGCCCCAACAAGTCCCGGTTCGACGAAGCGGTTGAGTCCATCAACAGCGCCATCCGCGGAGTCATGAGCGGGTACCTGGTGGGCCTTACGGTGAAGGGAGTGGGGTATCGGATGGAGCCGGTGGAGGATGACAGGGGGGAGGTGAGGACGGCCGGGGAGGGGAGGGGGGGAAGGGGGTTTTTCCTAAGAGGGAATGGAAAGTGGGGGCCTTATCAGCGGGTGCAGCGGCAGGTTAAGAGGGCTTCCAGCGGGTGCGGCTTCCGATCGGGGGATATTTCAGTGGCCTCAGTCGGGGGGCTTGGGGGTGGGGGTGGGAAGAGGGAGGGGAGTGAGGAGGGATTCGCGTGGGGGTGGGGGTGGGAAGGTATCACGTCGCGAGCCGTACGGGAGGGGGGAGGGAGAAGGGGGATGCGGTGTGTGAGGCCGGCGGGGGGTGGGGGGGGTGGGGAAGCCAAATAACATAATTAGGGTTGGCCGGAAGTTTAGATTTAGAAAATAATTTAGATGCCATCTAATTAGATTTCTATATAGATTTTAGATGAGGCCATCTAAACCGTTTAGGTGGGCATCTAAACGTATCTAGTCCATCTAATGCCTATCTAAAGGCCGGTGACCGGATCCAGACCGTTTAAACGTGAGTCATGGCACGCGAAACAGCTATGTTGAAGGTAACTTTAGTGTCATATCCTTGCTCCGCTCTATTACATACACAAATAGACGTAAAAATGCACAATGGCAGAACCAGGACCCCAAAAGCCGATCACATACAAATACAACCACCAGACTTTCGACGCGCCACAGAACGCAGCTAAGCTCTGCGAAGCCAAGCGCAGCATCAAAGCCGCAGCGTACTGGTCCATCTTCGACGTGTTGCTCGTAAAAGGCGTTGTGAACCTCGTCTGCACCGTTTGCAACAAGTCCTATAGCGCGAAGAACCCGTCAGCTGTCTGCCCGGATCACTATGCGAAGCACCAGAAGGACGTCGCCAGCGCGGTCGGAAGCGAGCAGTCCGGGGCGCCCACAACCAACAGCACGAAGTGCTCGCGCGCGGAGGAGGGGCCAGTTCGGACCTTCTTCCTCGCTGCAGTGCAAATCGCCACCTTCCTGAAGCACCTGGCTCTTTTCTTCTTCAAGTGCAACATCGCCCTCCAACTGAGGCCGGCAGAACAGAGCCCGACAGCTTTGCATCCCAATGCGGGCGTGTCCCGCATGTTGGCATGTGTACTTTGGTGGTTCCGTTTGCGGTTGGGCCGACGGTTGGGCCGCGGGGCGCCTAATTACACCCCGTGGCGCCATCCGACACGCGTCTGTAGAGCGCCCATAGGGGTTCGCCGTGTTCCCAGTGTCGAGCGGCCCAAAACATTATTGGAAAATCCAGGAAAAGATAAAGCCGCATCGTATGCAAAATTTCAGGTCAAAATTCCACCGTTTAGGCAGTTTTCCGTTTGGCCATCTAAAGATTTACCTAATTAGATTAGGTATCTAATTAGATTTCTAATTAGATACTTTTTCCATCTAAAGATTTTGCCAACCCTAAACCTAATGTAGGAAATAAAGTAAAAAGTAACAGCTGCTGCCGACTGCCGTGTGAAGCCCCGCAGTATATGTATAGGGTTGTGCCGACCATTCGAAATAGAATTCTAACGTATAGAATAATTCTAATGAGAAATCACCCTATAAATGAGAAGGGCCTGCTTCTGGGATTAGAATGGAGAGAAAGCTGTACGACAGCCTGGATCCTGCATTAGAATCGCCAGAAATAGAGGCTGGTGCATTATAATACTTTTGCATATTAGTACCTTACCTAGAGATGTTACTCTGTGTCAGCTATGGCATTTCATCAAGCGGACAAGCCTGACACAAAGCAACCTGACCATCAGCCCGACAACATTGAAGTTTATACAAGTATGGTGACAAGAATTTAGACGCCCCTGCCTACACTACGCTAATGTTCTCAAAGAAGTTAAGAGGCAAAGCAGCGCGCGTCGTGGTGGGTTCGTTTCAACGTCCTGCTGACAGCTGGCGCTGTGTGGCTCCAATGCGTCCGCTGCAACAACAAGATCCTGAGCGCTAAGGATCCGTCACGTCAAGTTTGCTCTCAGCACGTCAGAGCATGCGATAAGAAGCTGATGGAGGCGGCTGCAGGAGGCTCCAGAATGCCTCCCTCGCCCAGCAGCCCGCAGCCTGGGCCTTCCACCACCCCCTCCGCCGCCGCTGCCGCTCCCCCCGCTACTGCTCCCTCCAACGATCCGTCCGCCGGCCCGTCCTCCGCTCCTCCCGGCCCCTCCACCGCCCCCCCTTCCATTCCCCTCGATGGCCTCTGTCAACAAGCGCCCTCGCACCGAGGGTTCAGACGTTCTCGCAGCTTCTACCCCTCTTCTGTTGCCATCGCCCAGTTCCTGCGGAATCTTGCTCTTTTTTTTCTTCAAGTGCAACATATAGCTTTTCACCTGGTGTCTGTATCCGTCTGGCAACTGGCTGGAAATAACAACAACACTTGGCAAGGTTGGCTTTGCATTCTAAGGGGGGTATATATCCAGGCCAAGAGGTACACCCTTCTGGGTTACGACCCCGGCCGCATC